CTTCTGTTTTCGTTTTTCCCGGTTCAAGAGTTTTATTGTCTTGTTCTAAATTGTTATTTTGTTTCGGGGAGTTGCAAAATGGATTTTCGGTCCAGCATTTGCGTGCTTGAGATTTCTAAAAAATGTTTTTTTTTAAATATCTGCATTTTTAGAAATTCATTTAGATTTTTATTATATTTTTGCATTTTTGTATAACATTTCAGATTATCTGTTTTATCAAAAGAGCTCAAAATTATTTTGTCAATAAATACAGCATAATAAAGCATGGGAAAATATCTAATATCCGCCTAACAGTTAGCTCAATCAGGGAATAAAGCGAATTTGGAACACAATCGCATATCCCCCGAGTGTTTTATGCTAATTTCATGTATGTAAAACTTTGCACCCCCTCTCACACCATCTTTCAACCGCCAAAAAAGAAAGGTTCCCTGGGATATAAATACATACGTACATATAGTTCCCCCCGGGGGAGTATTTTCATAAAATTATTTGCCCCATTGTCATAAAAGTTAAGTTAACTTTTTGTTCCTTCTTGTGTTCGATGGCTGGTAGCTACTTGTTGTTATTGTTGTCGGGGGTTTGTTCTGTTTGTTGTTGTTGGGTGGCCTGGAATAAGGGTGGGGGTAGGCGGGCAAAGGCGGGAAATCCAGCGGAATGTCTAAGGATCCAAAGTCGCATGAATGAACCGAACCGAACCGCACACGCCCCGGGGACAGACAGAAGAAACCAAAGAAAGACGCACGGATGGTCGACGAATACACTGGGGGAAAAGTGGTAGCTCTATATATAAATATTTAGTATTAAAAAAATATTTTAAAGCTCATACATAATACTAGCATGAAACAAAAAATAAAAATAAGTCATTGAAACCTCGAAAATTTAGATTTTTACGGTTTTTCAGTCGTAATTTGGACAAATCAAGGCCCACAGCTAAAAGACAGACTGTTTTGAGCAGCCAACAACCTAAACTAACAATCCCCATCACTTCCTGGAAAATTTATTTTTTGAAAAAATTTTGCAAATTTGATAAGGGGTAACATCATGATTTTTTGCGAAAAATTGACAAAAAATAAAATGTCCAGGTTTGAATGCCAATCGATTAAGAATTTAATTACGAGCTCAACGAGGTATGACATTCCATATTGGGACCATTATGTACGTTTTTATGGTCAAAATACTGATTTTTTGGTTGGAAAATCAGGATCTTGATTTTTGATAAAATTATGATTTTTCTTATCGATTTTTGGCTGTAACTTGGACAAAAATGGACCAAAATCATAAAGGCGTACTGTTTTGATCAGCTAACGACCCAATTATTAATATCCCTGCACTTTTTGAGCGATTTAAAAAAAAATAATTTTTGATCAAATTTTTGCAAATTTGATAAGGGGTAACATCATGATTTTTTGTGAAAAATTGATCAAAATTAAAATGTCCAGGTTTGAATGCCAATGGTTTGGGAATTTAATTACGAGCTCAACGAGGTATGACATTCCATATTTCGACCATTTTTGGCATTGTTTCCGCCAAAGTACTGACTTTTTTTCTCAAAAAGAGTAACTCATTAGCTCACTAACTCAGTTGGTTAAATTGTACAAATTTACATATTTTTAACAATGAAATTTAAAACAATTCTACAATTTTAGATAATAGTTTAAGTCTTAGTGCATAAATGAAGGCAACCCAAAGAGTTCAAAAGTCGCAATTGGAGTGTTGGGGACCGCAGCCGAGAACCAAAATGAATGGCTGCAGTGTCCGGCATGCGTCGCATGATTGAATGATTTTATAATATTTTCCATTTTATCGAGCGAAAGGGGAAAATGGGCAACAAATTTTCGGGGAGTGGCGGAAAATTAAACATATCAGTCAGTGGTCAATGCTCAGAATTGCCGTGGAATAGCCGGAATTTTCCGAATGGAAGCCACAAAATGGGAGATAATAACGTGACACGCTTCGGTATCGTAAATCAGCAAATCCAACTTTATGAGGGGTCCCCGTACTCCCCCTACAAATGGGGAATGGGGAGCCCCTGAAGACAGATTTTAATGGTTATGTAGGGGACAATAAATGGCCATAAATTGGGACAACATGAATCGGAAATTAAAAACGATACCCATTCGCATTAAGGGAGAAACCCAACACAAGCCAACACAACAGAACACTCGACAACAAACCACAACAAATTGCCATTTCAATATTAATATTCATTTTCATTTCCAGTACTTATCTGTGAGTGCACAAGGGGCAGTCAAGGGTTAACCAATGTTGTAATGTGTATGTTCGTATACGTACCTGCAAGTAAAAGAGCGATAATAAAAATTATTCATTGGGGAAAATATTTACTTATTTTCAAGTGCAAAGCGAATGCCTCAGCAATTTATGAATTGCCAGCGTTGAGTTTGAGTTTGAGTTCACTTGAATTTTTAATGAATATGCGAATGAATGAATGGCAATCCAATTAATAACATTCAATAATGAAATAACAAAGGGCTAACTTGAAATTAAATATTTGTGGATAATATTGCATGAAAATTCAGTTATTTTCAAGCTTCACCAAAAACTTCTTTTGTGATATATTAATAACTACTTCTCCCTGTATTCCCTACGATAAGCCCGCACTAAGCTAATTAATTTTCCACGGAACGCGAAATCGAGTTTCTAGCCACGGCCAAACACACACGAACACGCACACGGGGAGTCCCAAGTCCTAAGTCCTAATCTATCTAATCCATCAGAGGAGAGTTCTGAATAATCTACAGTCATATCGGTTCCCTTGAAAACGGGAGAGGACTCCCAATGGGTGGTTTTCTGCTGCAGTGAAACAAATTGGCCGCAAGTGGTTCGTCAGCCTCACACCTCGAGACTCTCGCCTTCTTGTCATTCCACGCAATGGGATACGCGGACAACGGACAAAGGACAACGGACACGGGACACGGGACACTTTGTTTGAATATTATTTATGAGAGGCTTTTTTTGTTATTCAAGCAAATCGGTTTGCTCAGCCAATTTTACTACCCTGACGCCTTTATGGGTATTCTAATTCAAATGTTGAGTAAGTTTAATTTTATAATATGTTCAAAAATATATTTAAAATAAAAATAATAAAATCCATAAAAATATAATGACTAAATTATTTCAATAAATTATATTAGTTTAGTCCCATAAGTCCAGGAAATATTTAATTTATGCTGCTAAGGATTAGATCATCTTGTCTTTATCAAAAGAAGTACAACTTAGGCTTGTCAGGAAAAGATTTATGTGCTTCTTCACAGTAATTCCCAGTATTAAGTCTTATGATTTATTTGAAGGGCATTTAAAGTATCTGTACTCTTTATTTTTTATTCTCTGCCTCCTCTGTCCGTCCGGCTTATTTTTTCGTGCGGGCACCCATAATTTATTCAAGCCGAGGGTTGGCATACGGCACGCAGTGGGCCAACTTGGCAAGAATTATGAATTGCCGGGAGGCGAAGCCTTCGTTTCTAATTAGGCTTAAGTCGACGGGGTTTAGCTCCACTGACGGACACCGAACGGACAACTAACGGACAGCAAACGGACACCAAATGTGTCACCCGAAAAGCGCACACGTGTCACACAAGCCGGTCAAGTGGGATTCGGGATGCGGGATATGGGATACTAGATCCCGGGTCCCAGTCTAAAATTGATCCACACAAAATAGCCGCAATTATGGCCCTGGTTTGCATCTCCAGTCCGGCGTCGTCCTTCGGCTGATCCTAAAATCCTAACCGGAGCCACGTGTTAAGCTCGTTTTAATGAGTCAATTTAAAAGTTTGCCGCTCTAAAAATAGCCGCCCAACTTGGGAGGGGATTTGTCGAGTAGGTTGGAAGTTGAAAGTTGGAAGGGGGACCTCAAATCTCTGGCAAAGTGAAACCGAAAGTAAACATTGAAGGGAGGCCCAACTAAGGGCTTCGTTTGTTTTTTTTTTTGGCTGCCAAGTCAAAGTAAACTGCTATCTAAATTGGTGTATGTCAGGTGGGGCTAGGCTTAAAACTGTTGAGTGAACTCTGACATACAGATAGCACTAGATTACACATTTTTTATTTCATTTGGGATTGTGTGTAGATTCTAGATAACATTTAAAACAGCGTTCTATACAATGATACAGGTTAAAGAAGATAAATGATCATTGAAAGTTAAACATTTTAACTAACCAAATTAATAGATATAGTGAGTCTCGAAAATTACTATTTTTTCCAATTTTTGTTCGTAATTTGGAAAAAACAAGGCCCACAGAGAAAAGAGCGACTGTTTTGAGCAGCTAACAACCAAAACTAACGATCCCCATCACTTTCTAGAAAATTTATTTTTTGAAAAATTTTTGCAATTTTGATAAGGGGGTAACATCATGATTTTTTGCGAAAAATTGATCAAAATTAAGATGTCCAGGTTTAAATGCCAATCGATTAGGAATTTAATTACGAGCTCAACGAGGTATTACATTCTATATTTCGACCATTTTTGGCATTGTTTCGGCCAAAATACTGACAATTTAGGGTAGAAAATATGGAAAAAATTTCTAGACCAAAAAAAAAACGTTTTTTTTAGTCGTATTTTGGTCAAATCAAAACCCACAGAGAAAAGAGCGACTGTTTTGAGCAGCTAATAACATAAACTAACAATCCCCATCACTATCTAGAAAATTTATTTTTTGAAAATTTTTTGCAAATTTGATAGGGGTTACATCATGATTTTTTGCGAAAAATTGACCAAAAATAAAATGTCCAGGTTTGAATGCCAATCGATTCAAAATTTAGCTACGAGTTCAACAAGGTGTGACATTACCTGTTTGGACCATTATTTCCAATGTTTCGGGCAAAAAACTGATATTTTAGGGTGAAAAATAAGAATCTGGATTTTTTACAAAAATGTGCTTATTTGTAATGCTTTTTAGAAAATGATTCTAGAAAATTATTGCTAGAAAAATAAGAATATTTCCAATGGCATCCCTTTTCACAACACAACAATTACGTATGGTACATACCCATCGGCGTAGGTGACGGTGGATCCGGTCATGGACAAGGCCTTGTACCTGGCCTGCTCGTCGGTGGGCAGCACGATGTCCACGGATCGCGATCGTGTGGCATTGATATTCGGCACGGTGAGGAAGCAGCCATCGGCACTTGGTTGCAGCTCCTCCGTTTTGGCGCCCGACGACAGCTTGGAGAAGCAAGAATCGACGGAGGCGGCCCGATCTCGCTTCAAATCGGGAACCATTAGGTAAATATCCCGCACCACAAAAGCATTGTGATGACCACCAACAGCGCCCGAGGATGTCGAAGGGCCCAACCCACCAACCGCTCCCGGTGATCCACAGGTGGCCATGGTCGAGGCCTCCTCGAGGGAATCTGCGGTATCCACCGATGACTTGGTGTTATTGTTGCTGCTGTGGTTGTCCACCTCCTCGTGCGACACATTCTCCAGCGAGTTCCCGGTGGGCTCCACGAATATGGCCTCCTGTCGCGAGATCGATCGACGTCTGGCCCGCACCGGCAGACCCATGGCCGCCCCGGCATCGTCGGCATCCGCGGGCAAGCGACCGGAAATCGAGTTCGAGGAGCACGGCGACATGGGCGGCGATCCAGGATCCAAGGGGAGATGCGGCGGCGATGGATAGTCTCCGTTGGTCGGGCTCAGCGTAAAGGTTATGCCGCACGGCGTGGCCGGTGGCTGCAGGGTATTCCCAAAGTGCGGCGATCCATTGTCCGATCCCTCGAGACCCTCGTCCTCGGAGGTCGCCGAGGCAAGGGAACTGCTGCCGATGGTGTGGCGTCTCATTTGACGCGGCAGGCGGGCACGCGACTCCTCGATGCTGCTGCCCTGGCTGCTCATATTGCCAATGCGTATGTCCATCTCCATGGCGGCATCGTCATCCGGATCGTGATCGTGCTCGGACTCCACCTCGGTGCGGGGATCTTCGTCCGCCTCCTCGGTAGCCGCCTCAGTGGTCTCCTCCTCGGCATCCTCAATGGCCGTGCTGCTGGCCTCGTCGTCATCCTCTCCATCGTCCTCATCCTCGCTGTTCTCCGAGCTGGTGTTGCTGTAGCTGAGGGCCGTCAGCTCGCGATGATCGATAAAGTAGCGCTGGTCGGCCGTCATCAGGCGCTCGTACTCCTCCAGATAGTGACAATGGATGCACGGCGGCGGTGTCTTGGTGGACGAAGTGCGGCGAGCCTTCAGGCGGCGCGGAACCTCCAGAAAGGTCCCAGAATCATCGCTGCCCCCCGAGGCCGTGGCCGCCGAATCGAAGCTATGGGATCGCTGCTGATGGGCCGCCAAGGGGACCTGCAGGAAGCCAGCCTCCGAGGAGCGTTCGTCCGCCGAGGCCGAGGATGAGGACTGCTGCTTGAGCAGGCTGGAGGAGGCGCGCTGCGACTCCAATTGCATCTCGTCGAAGGAGGCTGAGCGCACCTGCAACAAGCGATGATCACACGGGTCAAATGGCGCTCAGCTCGAAACTCATCGAAAGCAAAACATGCAGAACACAACTGAACAATCAATAAACGAATCTTCCGATGTCACTTGTAAATGGCGCCCAACGTGGGACATTGGAAAGAAAAGTTGCCATTTATAGGAAGTCATCAAAAGTAACACATACAGATCACAACATAAATAAAAAGACTCTTCAAAGTGCATTTTGAATAAAGTCAACAAAAGTAACACATGCGAAACACATAAATGCATAGCTATCGAATGTTACCGATTATATTAGAACGATAACGGAAACGGCACTCAAAGAGTAATTTTAATGTTCCAAAGCAAACGTAAATACATCGAGAAAAAGAAGAGACAACAGTGGGTTAGAAATAAAAAGTGTTTGGCGCCCAACGAGGGGCATGGTAATATCCTTAAAGCAAAATCGAATTATATAATTGAATTTGATAAAGAAAAAGCACAAAAAACGAGGCAAGACAAAGGGAACGAACAATCCAAACAGGCAATAACGATAGGTAATATCGGAATTATCGATTAACCACCTTTTTTACCTGCTTGGGCACCTCCAAACTGTTCTGCATCTTCATTTCGGCACCGGTCGGAGTGCGCGATCGCGTGAATGTGGTACGCAGACGTTGCATGGTTGCTGCCGTTGTTGCTTGCAGTTGCTGGTGGAAGTTGTTGCTTGTTGACGATGTTGTCGGTGTCGATGTTGCTGCTGCTGCTGCTGCTGCCTGCCTAATTGCTGCCGCGCTGCTGGTCGAAGCTATGGGCTCGCTCAGCTGGTCGATGGACGGCTGTTGCTGCTGCTGCTGCATTTCGCTTGGTTGTTGTTGTCAATACAAATTTGTCGCAAGTTGCAGCTACTGTTGTTGCTGCTGCTGATGTCGATTGGTTGTTGCCGGTGGTGGTTGCAGTTTTCTCTACTGCTGCTCTTATCGTTGTTAAATTGTTGTCACTGTTGAGATTGTTGGGATTGTTGTTCTCGTCGTTGTTGTCGATGATTCGATCTTTGCTATTGCTGGTGTGAATTTTGCTGTTATTGCTGTTGTAGTTGTTTTTGTAGCGAGCGAACTGCGAATTGACAATTCTGATGGCCAATTCCATTTCGATGTTCGGTGTTCGGTCAAAGTTGAATTTTTTCTCAATTCTGTATTCTTTTTTTGTTGTCCTTTTTTTTTGTGGTTTGTTTAGCTGCTTCCTGGAGGAGAAGTTACTTGTGGGCGAGTTTCAGGACTCTCGTTGTGGGTTTTTGTTGTTGTTCGCCAGAAGCCAGTTCTTGGTTGGCTCTCGGCTTTTTGTTTTACTTTTAATTAATCAAAAGTTTCGCGCTGTGAATTGCAATTTACAAAGGAGCCAGGAAAAGAAAGAGAAGGGGAGAAACGGGAGAATTGATTACGTTAGTCAAATGATTAAAAAGCATTTTCCGCAGTTTTTCTTTGCCCACGAAACTTAAACAATGGCCGCAAAAAAACTGCTCAATTTACACGCCAAACAAATTTTTGCTGACCAATTTCGTGAAAGTCTCAAACGCACACACTCTCTCTCACTCACTCGCACAAAACCAAAAGCCCTGCATCGAAGGTTATTCGTAAATTGAAAAATCCCTTTATCGCCAGCGGTGCTAAAAATGTTTGTTTGAAGTACCTGCTATGTTTTTAAAAAACTGCTGCCAAATGCATGGTTAAAACAAAAAAGAAAGAGGGGGCGAATAATCACCTGGTCTGCCTTTATGCCCTTTATAAGCTAAAAAGTAAATATTTAAATCATATTTAATCTTATTCCCACGGTAGAGAAATGTGTGCAAGAATCGAAAATGATGGGAATTGTTAGTTAAGGTTGTTAGCTATTGAAAACAAAGGTTCTTTTGATTGATTTGTCCAAATGACGACTGAAAAACCCAACAAAAATTCGTATCGAATTTATTAATTTAATTAATAAAATTTCTAAATAAATTCATGAAAGAGTTTTCTTTTTATAGGGCGAAAATCGGTTTTTGTTACGAGTGTAGTCATGCTGTGCTGCCCTTTGACCTGTTCATGGATATTCTTGTTTGCCATTTGAAGCGAGGTGCAGTTTTCCTTTTTTTGTTTTTCTTTTTTTTAACTTTTTTTTTTGCTTTTTGTTTTGCTTTCTATTCCATTCCAATCCATTCGAAAAACACACGGTGAGGCACGTGTGTGTTTAGGTGAAAGTGCTAAATTGACGGGCGATGCGGTTCGCTACGGTTCGGTTTGATTCCGGGCTGGAAAATGGATGAAAAGGGGGCGGGATTCGAGGGCGGGGTGGGCCGGTTTCGTTTTACAGACAATAGGTGGCTGAAGGAAAACAACGGCAGCAAAAAATCCATTATGGCATACCTTTGGCATGTGCCGCGACTGCGACTCTTCTCGTGACGGGGTCACCACGGGCAAAAGGGGGTCACCAGAGTGTGGAGGTGGGGGCTAAAAAAGGGATGCGGCCGGACAAAGAGCGGCCTTCCCTCGCCCCTCTCCACCCCCGCCCCTGTTTGTGTGGGTCGCAAATTGAAAGCGTGAAATTAAATGAAAATGATATAGCTTTGAAATTGAATTCCATAGAAATGCCAAAAGTTTGCCAGGTGACGGCATGGAATGGCGTTGCGAGTCGCAAAGAATTTGTTAAAGTGCGTAATTAGAAAAGGTTGAAATGGGGTGCGAAATGCCGGGGTTGCAGGAATTTTTGGATTGGAAATGGAATGCAAGTGCAACCAATGTATAGCCTACTTCGGAACTGAGATTGAAACAGCAGTGTGGCCTACTTTCCGGCTCTTCTCATAACTATATTTACTATTTAAAATATCTAAAAAATCTTATAGTTGATAGAAAATGTATTTAATATTAAGGAAAACAAATTAAATTATAATTAAATAATATAATTTAATACTTCAAACTGTATTTATTATTTAATTTAGTTTCTGAGGAATGAAAATAAAAAGGGCTTTTACTTAAAATGTAACTCTTTAACAGGCTCTACAAAGAAGAAAACACTACTTTAAATAATCTGTGAAAATGTCTTTTTAAACGGAAAGCTTACCATTTAACTGACCTCAAAACTTTTGTGAATTTTCTAAGCAGAAGCAAAGTTTCTTAAACAATTGCCCTGATTTATGCCACTTGAGCGGGGGATACTTTGTAATTAAGTAAATTTGCGCCAAGAAAAATAGCCATAAATCTTGGACATTGTTTGCCACTCAGTTAATTAGTGGAAAACTGACAGATTGTGCTTTGCAGCAGCGATAAGCCAGCGATTCGAATGGGGAAACCATTAGACGATTATACCATTTTCAATTGGTTGGGTTAGCCCTTCCCTTTCCCCTTTTATCACACAACTAAACTTTCTGCATCGTTTAGAAGGGCCAAATCAAATATATACACACACATACTGGGCTTATTACAAACACGTTATTTATTTGCCAACCTCTTGACTTGACCCCACTGCCTGCCGCCTTTTGCCTTTTGCCGTTTGTTTTCCGTTTTCTGTTTGCCGTTTTCCAACTTCCCTGATGGCCTCGTAATTGTTCAGAGCCCGCGTGGCACTAAGTAAAAAGTTTTGTATAATTTTTCATAAAGCCAGAGCCCAACGAGGAGCCACAACAACAATATGAAATATATATATACTATATATACAAGAGCTCAAAGCGCTGCAAATGGAGCCACTGGGGAATCGGAGGCGTATGAGGAATGCCCTTATTATGTGACTGAGATGGGAAATCCTCCTGCTTTTCCCAAGGCTCATTCACATTCCTACTCACTCTCAAGCTGGAAATTGGGGAAATCCCCCTTGGCTGTGCGCCCCTGCCTTTGAGTCTGGGGCTCATTAAAGGTGCCACAAAAATGAAAGCGCTTCACTTACAGGCCATAAACAATTTTGTAAAATTAATTTGGACCCCGCTTAACCTGCAATTTGTCATAAAAGTTACCCAAAGAAGAAGAAGCCAAGTGCTATTGATGACCAACAATATTAATGAGAATTTAATAAGGTCATATGATCGCAGAAATCATAAGTAGGTTACAAACTAATAAATTAGTTTAAATTACCTAAAATATCCTATTTGGATTATCAGGTTACACTTTAAGAGTTAAACAGTAATCAAATGTTTAAAAGCATTAGAAATTACAAATTCCCGGAACTGTGTTTAATGAGAAAGTTCTCTGTTCACCTGCCTTACTAGAATAAGAAATGTGATAGTAGCGAAATTACTGAGTTACCAAGAAAATCAATTTGGTAACTTTTGGCAAGAATTTAATTGGTCCGAGTGGCTTACTTCCCCCTTTTCTTTTTTGTAAATATACCTGTTAATCGTTGAGTAAAGGGGTGTATTGTATTCTTTGGAAGGAATGTAATAGGTATATCGAAATGTAAAATAACATTTTAAAATCTGAACATTCATAAAAAAGCTATTAGCAAATAATGGAATGCAAGCAGTCGATTTACTGCTGGGCTTAATAATGGGAATAAGATAGTCGAGTTGCTCGACTTTAGCGTTCTCCCTTTTTTTTTCGGCATTTTCTAGCTGAGACGCTGAAAATTAATCCGCAGCATTTTAATTTTGCGCGGAGCAGGAAAACTGGGGGAAATTAAGTTAGTCAGGCGTGGAACGGTGGTCAAGGAAGGGGGACGAAGGCGGGAAGTTGTCTCAAATAAAAGAAGAAAAATATGTTAATTTCAATTAATTGTTGGCAGCAGGAAAAGTTCTCATAAAAAAGAAAACCGAAAAGAAAAATTGGTTGAAGCGGAGAAGAGTTTACGCCTGATGGGGTAAGGGTTGGGGTTATGTTGGGGTTGGGTTGGGGTTAGGGTTGGGGTTAGGGTTGGGGTTTTCGGGTTGGGTCGTCCCCCTTTCGTCTGAATAACTTGCGAGCAGCATCATAATTTGCTGCCATTTGTCGCTGCCAGAAAAGAGAGACGAGACGAGAAGTGTTTTGGTTGCACCTAATGACTGTTGGGGAAATTATTTAACGCGAAGCGTTTTGCCGCCAAACTTTATCGAGGGGTAGAAAAGAAAAAAAAAGGGGGTGGCACTTCCAAAGTATTCCAGGAAAATCGGTAGAATATTTAAATAAATTTTGACAGAATAACTTGACAAACAAAACGAAAAGTGAATGGAAAAACTTTTCCTTTCCTTTCCATCCCCCACCCTTTTTTTCCTCTTTGGTGGCTGGCTTAATTTTCTCCTCTTTTTTCGCACTGTTTTGTTTTTTGAAGGGGCCGGAGTTGTTGCACGTGTCCTGGGGATCCGATCGGAGGTCTAAGGACGTGCCCGATGATTTGGCATATTTATCAATGGCACCGGAATCCGAGCCAAAATGCCGGCAAGAGATTGAAATGTGAGCAGAGGATTGGAATTGGGATTGGGCTGGCGTGGCGTTTATCTCCGTTCTCTTCTCTCGATGCACAAATAAAAAGAATATTATAATATTCTTGGATTTATAGATTAATCATTTATTTCAGATAATTCCCATATTTTCGAGGAAAAAAATATTTTAAACTAATAATTTTGTTGATATTTTTTAAGGAAATATAGTTTAAATAAATGGGTCATTAATTTTTTTTTGTAAAGTCTTGAGTATCAACTTTTTTTTGCTCTGCATCTTCATCTTTGGTTGCTTCATCTCACTTGGTTGGCACTTTTGAATGCGAATTCGATTCGGCTTGCAAGTGGGTCAATAGTGACGTCAGCAGGTGGCAGGAAATAAAAAAAGGAAAAACCCATAAAAGCACCCATACACACACACACAGAGAAAAAGGGTTTCCAACTTGAGCGATTGCTTCCACTTGAGGAGCCGTTTTTTGTTCGCTTCTCGACGGCTTTTCTCTCGCATTTTCCCTCGCATTTCCCTGCAATCTCAATCGATGCCAAGTTGGGCTGCAAGTGGAGCAGGTTAAGTGCAAATCCTTGTAAGGATATGCCATCGATAGACCCCCTGCATGTGTGTATGTATGCGTGAGTCTGCGAGTGTGTGTGTATGGGCGTAATGTTCGAAAATGTTTGGAAAATCGCGCTCAACTCGCGTGTAAAACGCGTCATGCAATTATCAAAAGTGACAGACAAGTAATGAGAACGAGCGGTAGGCAAATTGACGGGCAGCTGGTAAAATGTGTGGAAATGCACAGTAGATTTGGAAAATGTTCGGAATTATCCAGCGAAATTATAATCAATTATTTACCAAAAGCATTTAAATGACAGGCGAACAAAACTGCCTTATTACAGTTGATTTACAGAAATAATTAAAAGACAATCACGGATTGCGGAACACAGAAAACTCGACGTGTGCCCAATGCAAGATAGGCATCTGATTTCATTTATTTC